CAAATTCCACATGATCACACATGATCTTTTGTCAATGCAATCAGTTAGCATTCTCGTATTATCTTCGGAAAACAGACTAAAAGAAAAAACGCAAGTACATGAAGGAAAGAGAGTTTCTTTTTCTCCGTTCACTTTATACACGTGGCTCAGGTTCCCTGGCAATATGAACCTACCATTAGGATGGAAAACCACCGAGCGATAACACGAAAGAGGCCTTAATGTCGAGTCGGCATCTTCAGACGAGGGAGGTATCTTATACGCACTACCAAACGGAACGCCACAGTACTCTTTTCTATATATGACAGGGCGAACCCATTCTAGCTTTCTTGTCTTAAGCGACCACAGTTGTATTGATCCGTCATGGCATTCACAAACCATGTAATCTAATTGTGGTGAGACATCGATGCAGGCTACTGTGTCCGAGCAGTGAAGTTTCACTGACGTAATGCCCTCGGAAGCTTCTTCAGCGAGGTTTTCCATGTACGGAATGTCATAGTATTTGTTCTGCAACATGTTGGCTGCTTTATCTGCTAACTCTTGCCCTCCCTCGTTCAAAACAAGTTGGAAAAAATTACTAGGAAGACTCCGCAGTGTGTTGCGATGTTTTTGAAGCACAAACAATAATTTGTTGAGAGCTCCCTGAAGTTGCTCCGGAAGTTTCTGTGATATATCTTGGGTCTGTATCAAAAGAACATCTTCGGACGCAGCTGTGTCGTATGCGTTGTGAACACAAAGTTTTGCATAAACAAGTTCCAAATCCATCACATACTTCTCCACCGTCTCCTGGAAATTGACAAACCTTGATTCCTTTTCCACCTTGAGCATGTGCTGAACACCATGCTGCAGAGCGTATCTATCAGTGTCACTAAAACACCTGCCGTGAACTCCCTTTAGTCTAACCTCATCAAGAACTACTCGACAAATCTCTGCAAGAAGGAGGTGTCCTTGCCCCTCGTCCACAAGAAAATCATGATCTCCATACAAGCATTTGTCAGTTAACCAGTCTCTGACTGATTTGTGAATAAAGTGAAGGCGGCCGTCGCGAATAGGGAGCAGAGTAGAAACACAACTGATTGCTTTGTTTACTCGTCGTTGGTCAGATCTAGAAGTGCCATTTGCGTGAGGTCCTAATACTTTATATATTATAGAGAGTGGCAACGGTTCCTTAGCAACGGTCACAATGGAAAGAAACGTCAGAAAAGTTTCCTCGCTGATTCCAACTTCCTTCTGAAGATCTGCCTCCAGACGTTTAAAATGCGAAAAATAAACAGACGAAATGCCTAGAGGAAGGCTGCCACTTATGTGCACTTGGTCTAGAAGAGCTACATTATTCTCCAAAAATTCCATAAGGAAATAAGCGTATAGCATCAGCCCCTCAGACTTCTCCACTAGTTTGTTCAATATAGTCTTGTCCAGGCAGTCATTGTCAGTACCATCCTGTAAATGGCTTTGAAAAAACAGTCTGATGTCTTGCAAATTCTTCTCGCCACTTGGCTCCAAATGAAAGGGCTTTAGACGTTTAAGTCTCTCTATAATATTTTTCTCTGGTCTTGTGGTGACAAGAAATCGAATCCAAAGAGGGAGCTTACAAAACTGATTGGCAATCACTTCAAGCAATTCATTCCGTCCTTGATAATCACTCTCATCCAAGCCATCTATCACGGTAAGAATGTTTCTACCAGGGTCAGACACAGTGCTGAGAGGTTCTTTAAGAAGTAGTGCAAATAACTCTTCTACACCGAGGTTGTCCAACTCAGTGCCCACATTCCGTGAAAGTTGCTCTACTAGAGCACGTTCGTATTCGGGAAGGGCATGAGACAAGTGGCAAGCCAAAGATTGGAGCATAAGTCGAGGGTTTCGATATCGAAAGTTGTTGTGCTGACAAAAATGGCTTCCTGATAGTCTGCCTTTTTGTTGCATTCTTTGACAAATTACAGCCGCTATCACTGATTTGCCCATTCCTGCATCTCCACTGATCACCAGCACGCGGTTTTCAGAGAATTTGTCGTTCAGCCAGTCCTCGACTACTTTGAAGACCCAATCACGGGTTTTAGGCTGATATCTTCCCACATGAAACTCTATGTCTCCTTTAAACTCAGATTTAGCAAGGTTCTTAAGGATTTCATTCGACGCACTCTCTTCTGATCGCGAAGCATTAGGAAGACTCTTTTTGAGCATCTTACGCATTTCCTCTACAACTTGTTGCGTGTTTTTCTGAGCTCGTATTACATCCTTCAGTTGTGACTTGATATCAGCATCACTATCTACCCAGTCGAATACAACCTTCAGGTATTGTTCTTCACCACAGCGCTCTTCCTTCAGCCTATCTATTTCCGCTTGATCCAATCCAAGAGCCACAAGTGCAACGCTGAGTTCCTGCCAGAGGGCAGAAAACGTTGAGGTGTCGACACCAGTGGAGGTTACATGACCATACAACTCGTTGCGGAAGTACTTCAAATAAGCAATGTTTGCTTCAAGAGAGGTGTCATTGGAGGCTGGCTTTGCATGCCACCCTGATGATGGGGGAGACAATCCACAAATGTTGGTCAACAAAATAAAGAGTAAAGAGATATCAAAAGTGTTGGAATCTGGTGTACCCCCACTAGGGGGAAACAACAGGTCCCACTGCTTTCTGAACAAAACTTTCCTCCTTAACAGGTCATTAAGGATAAGGTATTTAGCATTGAGTCCAGGCACCAGATTGGCGGGGGGATAGTAAGTATTGAACAAATTTTTCAGCACTCTTGTTCCCCCATCAATAAGCAGCCTGCTTAACTTTGTTCCATTTGTTGTCTCAACTGAACTGTAGAGTGGTGGCCGTTCCATCTAGAGAAATTGAAAACAACTCGGCGTCTTAGCTATATCGACGTTGCTTCCTTGACGAACATCAACCTGTCAAAGAAAGAATCCTCACTGTAATTGCGAAAATTGTGAACATCCACGCGGTTATTTACGGTTCTTAAAATAAAGTTTTATTTAAACTCAGTCGACCCAGACATTTTTGCCAAAGAGATGCCCCGCATGGCGTAAGAAGCTGTTATCTGGCTACAGTATAAAAGAAAAGCAGGCGATCGAAAATATTCAATCACTAATAATTATTACCACCTGGGGTGAAATAAATAATGGGTCACGGGAAATTTGTATGAGACAGGTCTGGTTCAAAGAGGATCAAAGCCAACGCCAACGCTGTCCTATTACTCTCTTTTGACTTTTTCACTTTTAACATTTTGGGGTATACTCTAGCAGTGTCGCGTTTTTGGTCACGTGACACGCCACACCTATTTTTGCTATATATTTTAATCCGAATTTACAACACTTGAGAAAGATTTCTTTTAATTAAAATTCGGCATACCGTAATTATTCGATTAAACGATGTGTTTTTATTCAATCGAGATACCGAATGAATATTGTATCAAACAGTAAGATGTTTAAAGATTCAATGCCCCACTTTCTAGCTAAGGTAGAATTCATATAATTCTCCCTGGGCGGAGATTACCAACCTGTACCAAGTTTTTTTTTATAATCTTCGAATAACAACAACAACAACAAGTTTATTCAGTATTACCATTTTGTACAGGTGTTAACGATTGAAATAACAACAAGCAGCTAAATTTAAGGAAATGAAGATATAATGGAATGGTATAATTAATTATGTTCCTTTCGTCTTTCAAATGTGGATTGGCAGTTAGCCTGCTGATATGTGAATCAGTATTGTTACAATGTAAAAGGAAAACGGACTTTGTCACGGATATTATAATTTGTAACTAATGTATTTTGGTCGTTTATTTTAATAAAGAGAGTCTTTCTCAAATCATTATTTTAATAACGCTGCATTAACCACATTGAGTATGGCGTCTATATGAGGGCGACGTTTTGCTTCCATATGCGGAGTTTAATCTTCGATAGCGGTGTCGATTAAATACAGTATTCCTTAAAAACCCTTGCCAACTTTGATGTTTGCTCTGACAAAAAAGTAAAGTATTAAAGGTATTTTTATCCCACATTATTAATATCTCTGCAAATATTAAAGTGTACTAGACATCGCCCTCGTGTGAATCAAATTGTTTATGAGCCTCACTCCTCTAGATCTAGCTGGAATAAAATGTTTCCGATTCAATGAGTTAACCTCTCGAGCGATTTCATGCAAATCGGGCCAACAATTTTGGAAACGAAACCGAAACAACACGAACTAAAGAGTTCAATGAAAAACAAAGAAAATATGAAGAAAGTTCAGTGGAAATTAATGTACTTAGCGAGAGTTTCAGATGTTAAAAACGATGAAAATACTATCTTTCTCCACTTCGAAATGAAGCAGGACCCAAAAAGTTCTCTTAAAAGCTTCATTTTGTACATCGAGTGTTATATGTCTTAATGAGCAAAAGCGAATCTGTTCAACAAACAAACGAAACTCATGAATCCCATAAACTGAGAACGATTTTCGCTGCATTCATTCTCGATCCAGCTTTTAAACTCACCTCTTTTCTATCTGATTTGTAGTCCCTGTTCTTAAAATTGTCCAAATTTTGTGCGTCCTGAGTCGAAGCGATGTTTTTTTTTTGTTTTGAACATGCACGCGAGTCACGAGAGGAAAACGAGACAAAACAATGAGGCAATAGCGGAAGTAGGTGATGATACGCAGCAGGGATTTCTCCCCACTCCCCTCCCTATGCTCCCCGCGCTTAGTCCTTATATCCTGAGGAGGGTGGACAGTGAAAAAAGGAAGTTGAAATTCTCGCCAATCACCACCCTCACCCGTGTTTTGTTTGCATGAGTCTGATTTACACAAGAAATTTCCTCTGAGCTTTTGTTTTTTTTTCTCTAAAATTCGAATTGTTTCCTGAACATCACCGTTTATAATGGTCCCGGGATAATGGTTTACGACAGCAACAACAACAACAATCACCCCACCAACTCCACCTCCAACAGGGTTTACTAGTTTCAGTTTCCCACGTCCGATTTCGAACGCCTGGCAAAATCCTTTCGTTCGTGCATCGTCCACGATGCCCGTTGATAACAAGAGAATTCCGGGCCCTGAAATAACGCAACCAGTTGTTTTAAGAGAAGAAAAACGCCTTCGAAAGCCTCTGGTAACTTCGATCATGCGATTTCGTATTGTTTAGTTTCTAGTGGTAGTTATATCACAGTCTTTGTTGTAGATCAGCAGGGAGGGCTTGCGACAAGATGGCCGCAAAGAGGACGAACTGAGGCCAATGTGTAAGTTTGCTGTGAATTCTGTACGAACGTCTTGCATTAAGGTTTAAAAGAAAAATTAAGTTTTTATTTTTTTTTAATTGGTTATCCTATAGCTATAAAACATCAAATTGATTTAACGTATGTGTGTAACCAAGATCAGAGATAAATTCAGGGGCACCCAACGACTGTTTTCTGTAAAATATCTGTTCGGAAAAGCATTCCCTATAATTATAGGATGACCGAACAGATACCAATTTTATAAAACCGCTTAGATTGCAAGTCTAGAGATCTAAAAATACTCTTGATAGCCTAAAAAGTGTTTTCAATGTATGTAGGCGGAAACTGTCGTTGGTTGCCCCTGTTAATTTGGTCATTGTGATCGCCATTGTATTTTTCAGTTCTTCGTTCAGGAGTTGTAAGTCAGGCAAGGGGATCAGCTTACATTGAGATGCAAAGAACCAAGGTTACATGTGCAGTGTATCCTTATGCATAAATACCAATAGTACATGTGACTTGAAAGTTGGCTGCTTGAGGCATTGATCAGTAAGCTTCCACTATGGGCTGCCAGCTCATAGGTGAAAAAAAGTATTTCTTCAATTTTCACCTTTTTGTTTTAGTCTAGTGAGTGCAAGCTCCTGTTACCCTTTAGGGACTGTATGTTATGGCTGAGCAGAGTGGGGGTGGGGAGGGGGGAAACGGAGCAGTGTTTAGAATATTTTCAAAATCAGTGGAACTGGAGGGTTCATTTTTCAAATTCAGGTCTAGGCCAAATGTTGAACTTTTCATGAGATGAACCAATCTCGAATTTGGGTCGACCTTAATAAAATTAAGTAAAGATCCTCTGTTGGGAAGAGAAGTAATAAACTGCACTTGAGTCACCTGCTACACAACTGCTTGAAAGCTCTTGAAAATAACAAAAATGTTTATATCAGGTCCATTTACAGATCTTTGCTAAGGATGCCTAGGCTGGCGCAGAAAGGTTGCATAGGACCATGAGACCTGTGAAGGCACCTAAAGGCCTATCAAAGGGCAGTGTTTGTCTCTAAACTTCATTTTGTTTACATGTGACAGTTTGACTTTAACAGAAGCTCAGATATGGCCCTAGAGAGTCATCAAGACAACAAGAATTTAATCAAAAGGTTTAAGTCCAGTGATGACTGGCAGTTGATAATATTTATCTTTAAGCTTCGCTCTGTAATTTTAGTCTTTATGGAAAAAATTATATATGATACATTAAATGTGATAATAATTTCTGAAATAGTCCATATTTTCTTTATTAGGGAAAACTCACCTGTGAATTTAAATTTGCACCATTTTCTTGCTGGCAGAGAAGACAGCATATGCAGGTACTGCCTGGGTAAATTCACTTCTCTCCATTTTTCTTTTGATGTTGTGGTTCACTTTTTTTTCTGTACAATTCTCAAATAAGTTCAATTTTATTTGATGTCCTGGAAATGTGATGGTGAATTTTAAGCTTGGTGAATACACAAGAGAGATGCTATTCAAGTCAGTAACACAGGTCACTCTTTTTTTCAAGAAAAAAATTCCTATCACATTAGGTGTTCAGTGGCACATTGTTGTTGTTGTTTTTTTCTTGGTTATGCTATCATGCACATGAGCACACATCAACTTTCCAGAGCTAGCAGCTTGCAGGATGTTTGACACATGAACCTAGTATAAAGGTCCTAGCTTCCACAAGTCTCATGGAGTGGTGGAGCATCTGGACTATAGTAGCCAGAAGGTCACCACTTTTGGAGAACTCAGATTTTTTTTCTTCTAAGTGGCCTACTGTCACTGACTGAATTAATATACATGGAGTAATGCCTATTGTGGTCCAATCAATCATGGCAAAGATTAGGCCATAATTTCAAGCAAGCCACAAAACCACAAAATTAAAATGTACGCTTGCGATGTAATTTTCTCATGCCCAATGTTTTCATCAGGACTCAGAAGAGAAAGAGTTTTCCTCTTTTGTTGTGCAAGCCTTGGAGCCAGCTGTTTGCCTGGTAAGATTAATTTTTACGCTGGTGTTTGTTGTTTAATATTTTTTTTGTTTTTAAGAGGCAGATAAATAATGAAAGGCAAGGTTGTAGTGAAAATTTCCTGAGCTGAAAAATTAGTAAAGCCTAAACCTGAAACAGCCATGGCTATAAAATGAATTAATTTTAAAATATTATATCCAGCTCTAAAGCTGCCCATCCAAATGAAAGCAATTTAACATGGTTTTTTCTAGCATGGAAATTACAGCATTTTGTTGTTTAGGGTGAGGGTAATCAGGTACTGCTCTATAGAACTGTTGGAAGGATCTTGCTTTCCACAAAATAGGGGCCATGCAGAAAAAAGGAATATTTGAAACACAATTCTGTTTCCATCATGAAAACTACAGATTTTCTGGGTAAACTGATCAAAAGAGCTTTTGAAGAAAATGTCTTCCTTTGTTACCATTAAAAATAGTAAAAACTTCTTTTCTGCTTTGTTTGCTTACAGGAAAAATTCCCTAAGGCCCAAATAGATATCTATATCACTGTTCTAGAGAATGATGGTAATGGTAGGTTATCTGTTTCTGTTAAAAAATATTGCTCATTAAATATGTAAAAATTGTAAAGTGTGCGCTAACCACAAAGTAACAACTGCGTCGCTTATTGGAGGTGGGTGCCCGGGATGTCCAGGGGCTTCCGCTTTTGGCACAGCCAGCCTCTAGATAGAGTTACGCCTCCATGGCTGGCAAACCCGCGCCCTCCAGCCATGAGACCCCAATGATCCTAAGGCTAAACGAGGAGAGTGGCCACCAGGGAAACGTTGTACTGAGCACATATCATGGAGGTGATGCAAGCAAGGCTGACTACGCTTGAGCCAAACGACTGACTGCTGACCACACCCTTGCTCCTTGTTGTTAATTGTGTGAAATAAATGTAACTTCATTTAACTCTGGTTTAGAGCGGTTTTCACTTGACTGTCGTAAAACCAAAACCAAAGTAAATACACTAGCCAACCAAAGGGCGTAGTAAAACCAAAACCAAACCAATTCCTCAATTACTTTCGACAGTCAAGTGAAAACCGCTCTATTAAGTCCTTAGGAGCTTAGCTCCTTATAATACAACAAAAGATAGAACCATAAACTGGAATATCTCAGTTGAAAAGAAAAAAGATATTGTCTAGATAGGTCGTCAAAAGAGAGAGTCTATAATAACAGCAGACATGTGTAATTTGTGCTGGGTATTTACTTGATTCATAAAAAAAGCAACTTTTTTTGGTTTGGATCAGCCCTGTCTGCAGGTATTATTTGTGCCTCGCTGGCATTAGGAGAAGCTGGAATAGAAATGTATGATCTTGTCTCTTCATGTTCTTTGGTAAGTGTTAAGTAAACAACATGTAATTGTCTTAATTATTTAATAAAATGATATTTGTGTTATAGATTTTGTAAAACAGCATGTTATTGTCATGTTATACATGTAGATTTGTATTATTACTGGTAACACATAAATAATATTATATGAACAACGTATATTTGAACAACAATTATTTAATCGTACAATCAAATGAGTATGCAATTATCAGTTGTGATGATCTTTCTAAGTGTAGTTTATTTGTACAATCATGTGAATTTGACTAATATACATATTTTAATAGGCCTCTTCCAAGTTCTGGAAATCCTCACTTTCAAACAAGGCCAAGTGCACAACCTTTCTTGTGAAAATGAGTTTTATTTGCATGAGAATGAAAAATCATTTCCAAATCAAAGCTTGAATACTTAGCCTCGTTTTGATACAGAAGACCGGAAATGGCCGATTTTTGTTTGCTCATGGAACTGATTGCTTAAAATTATGCATGTTATTGTCAGATACAAAAAGGTTCTACATCACTTATGGATCCTACATTTCTTGAGGTATTTATTTGGAGCATTTTTTATATAGATGTAAATATATCCATTCTGCATTGTGATGATCTGTATTTATTTTTAAACGAATCTTTTTGATAATCACCTGAGTGCAGGCAACATACAATGTTTGTACAATCTCCCACTTTGATTCAGCAATGAAATCTGGATTTAATTAATTTTGTAGTTGTATAATTGTAACAAGATTCTTCATTGTGATTTGCTATTATATTGCAATGTTTTGACATTAACAGAATTTAAGGGTGTACTGTAATTTTTAATTATAGAAATCAGAGGTTAATCTACAGATAAAAAAGATAATGTTGTTTGACAATTTTACTTTAAATACCTTTTTTTCTTCTCAGGGTGTGTCTCCAGAGGTTGACGGGAGAGTCACTGTTGCTTTCTTACCCACACTGAACATAGTCTCTGGGTTGTTACAAGATGGCGAATTGGTCCATGATCAGGCAGTTAAGGTAAGCTTTACCGTTTTCTCCTGCCTTCCACAGTTTAGTAGCAAGTTTGTTTATAGTTAGGCTTCACACATCCTCACTGCTTCTTATGGCATTCTATAATTTCTTCAAAAAGTTGAAACCCTCCTACAGTGGCAGTACAGTTGTTCATAAGTAAATGTATAAAGCTGTGCTTTGGGAACTAAGATCAGGTGGTTGAGGATGAATACTGTCATCATATCTTGTACTATATTTGCTTCACTGTGCACATGCATGATGTTACAACATTGTTTAATTACTTAAGTTTTTTAATTTAGTTGTATGCCTGCTTTCACAGCAATAGAGTACCGAAGTGTGACGTCATAGAAAATGAAATTTGTGAAATTATGGGATTTGTTAAGCTATTCTGAAAGAACAACGTCCAAGACTCCTACTCGCCAAAAATTAGCAATTTGGGGCAGATTGTCTCTGAGATATTAGCCCAGTTATGCTCCGATGACTCCATACAAATCCTTCTAAATCTTGCCTGGTTCCTATGAACCAAGCCAAATTTAGAAGGATTTGTATGGAATCGTCACAACATAACTGGGCTAATATCTCAGAGACAATTTGCCCCGAATTGCTAATTTTTGGCGAGTAGGCGTCTTGGACGTTGTTCTTTCAGAATAGCTTAACAAATCCCATAATTTCACAAATTTCATTTTTATGACGTCATCACTTCGGTACTCTATTAAGCTGAGAAAATTAGGGTCAGAGTTAAAAGGAATTAACAAGCAAAAGAAAAAATAACATGGGCAAGGACTCCTTCTCACTTGAGCCATGTTTGTTGTTCAAAGGCCCTGGCAGTCAGCTCTCTTCCTGGGTTCACTTTAAACAAAAAGGTGATATGATAGGTCATGGTAACTAACCCTGGACCCACGCTATTTGTTCTTTGAACAAGTTAACGTGAAGTTTTAGGTGTTAACCTTGGTGTCATCATGCCTTCATGCCCACAAACTGAATTTCAGAAACCTCGTCTACTTTGCTAACTCAGTAAGTTAGAGAGTGGAGGAGGCGGCTGAAATTAAGGCTACCATATCCATTGAACTACACTTACTAATGTTGTTGTTGCCATTTTAATATGTAGGCAGTGAAATCCTGCATGGAGGGTTGTGCTCGTATTTACCCAGTTCTTCAAGAATCCCTTGTTCAGGCAGTAAAACGAACTATGAAGTCCAAACAACAGGATGCAAGTTAGCTGTTTCAGTTGTACCACTGTGTACTTTGTTATTTTGCACAACATCGCGCCATCAAGATGTCTTACCAGATCTTTTAAACAACTGGAAATCTGGCTGAAAGAACTCATGATATTGATCCCTCATCAAACCCATTGATCAAAAATTAAAGAAAAGTACACGTTTTATTGGCATCTTGCTTAATGGGATCATGAGCTCTTTGGACAACTGCAGAGCCTGGTTTATAATACAACATGGTACACATGTAGACTTTGTCAATGTCCTTCATGGTTATGAAGTGACCCCGTAGACATCAAGATTAAGCTTGCATGTGCTCAGTTCAAAGCTGTGGTAAATGCAGAATGATGAGTCCATTTATTTGTTAGGGATTTGACACTCCCTCTGACAGAAAACATTTCTTCATTTACACAAGCCAACAGTGAAATTCTTTTTTGCCATCAAGTATAGCAATAGTAGAGGTAGTAATAAATATTCATACACATACAGTGTTGCACAGCTCCAAAAAATTGTTTTATTGGTGAAAACTTTGGTAGCACCTTTGCTTTGTTTTACTTTCTGAAAATTTACTTTTTTTAAGTGAAATTGATCTGACTAGTGTTTTTATGTCCAACTGTTACTGTGGTATAGAATTCCTTTTCTGTACAGCAATCGCTGTTCCTTCCATGCAGTTAAGTTCAGCTTCAACCAAGAAATAAACAGCTTTACAAAAACATTTTGTCAGTAAAGGCTTAATTTCTAGACTTCTGTGGAAGTAAACTAACTTAAGATTCTTTGGTGTTAGTAGTCACTTCAATAAAAGTATTTTAAAAAAGGTTCTTAAAAAAATTACATTAAATTAGACAATTATTTTGTGAGTTCTTTTAACTGAAACTGAACACCAACGGAAGTCTGTTAAACAAAAAATATCTTTTTCTCACAATGGACTTGAAATGTTTGTTTGTTAGCTTAAGTAATGAAAAGCATGTTTCTCCATTTATAATTTAATAATAGAATAGGAAAATTTTGTTTTGAGTCATCAAATATGTGCATTAATTTTCTTAAAGTGAAACAATAAAGTGTCATTTTTTATTAAAAATATCAAACAACTTTTTTAGTTCTAACTTTTCTAGGGATAGGCATTGCAAGTTCTGCAATTCTAGGGGTAGCCTGTGCTGACTTAGCACCTGGTGATACTTTCCATGCACTTGCGTCATAGTCCTCATTATACTGGCTGCGGCTTTTGGGCCTAGCAAGTTGTTGAACCCTAAGTGAAGGCAGAGCCTTTTTTGCAGATTCAGAAACCTCCCAGATCACTGATCGTCCTTCTTTGTAACTACGATGTGGAATTTTAGGATTAGACAGGAAAATAACTCTCTCTGAGGCTGTTGCATTCTTTGCAGCTTCCGTTAAATCAGACTCCCATTCGCTCCAATCCCACTCACTATTTGACTTGATTTTTAATGGTGCATAAGTCTTGGGATGTGCAAGAGTTTCAATGCGTTGTGTTGGCTCTGCGTTCATTGCAGCCTCACTTACAACAGTTTGAACTTGCCGGCATGGTTCGTATTCTCTGTGTAACGCTTTTGGTTCTGAAAGGGTTTCCAGCCGTCCACTTGCTGATGCTTTCATTGCTGCCTCACTTACCGGCCATATAGCACTTGGTCTGTTGGAAAACAAGGTATAAAAACCCTTCAAGCCCTTGACAATTTATTATTTTATTTTATTTAATGCCCTCCTACACAAGCCTTTTTATCCTAGACAGACTTATGGAGAGATGATTAATTTTGTCGTTCTAACTTTTGAATCTTTGGGAAAAAAAACTTATTATCAATGGGACTTGCATACCAAAAAAATACTTCGTCATGTGAAGTTTGTAACCCCCATCTCTACAGCTGTATTTAAAGTTGGATGCTGGCATCTGATATGGATGAGCATTTATTGCTGATAAATACTGTACAATACAGTCAAAGCTACAATACTAAAGTCTGAGACTTAATTTGAGACTAGAATTTATTTTTTCAAGTTTGATTACCAAGATCGAGTATGAGCATTCATGGAATTTCAGTGGTGCTGTTTGGATGGATGGGATAAAGACTACCTGGAGGTTGTACTTCCTTATATAACTAATAAGTAATAAAGGGGTATTAGCCAACCCAAAAGGTATGATTTTTGAACCGTTGAAAGCAGGGATAAACTTTGCCTATTTTGGTATGGAATGTGGTATGGTTTTTGAGGGAACTATGTGAGTGTATGAACATATTTGTTGTTTTGATCCCAAATAAATAAGACAGACAGAATAACATTCGAATTCAAAATGTACTTTAAGCAATGTTTTTCTTGGCATTCAAATCTAAGTAATGATAACATAATTTCTACGAGACCAGGTATGAAAACGGGTGTAAAAAATGCCATTTTTTGGTCTGAAATAGGGTCAGGATTTCAAGAACTGTGCGGTGCTTCCTCATCAAGAATCCCGAGGAGTAATGCCCCCCTCCCCTCTGGAAAGACTGACGCACTTAATATGCACAAGGCAGAGGGTTACCATCAATCCTTTAATTTTTATGATAAATCATCAATTTTATAATCAGTACCTGTCTCCAACATAATCTTTGTGAAGCTGCTTGCTGTACACGAGCTGGGCCTGTCTTTCTGTTAACACTGTTCAATATACAAAAGCAATCGTGAAAAAATAGGGAACTCACTTTTGAAGGGTCCAAACATCATTAATATTAATTCTAATAGTTGTGGTTTCTCTTAATGTCTTCCTGTTTATATGACATCCTATTATCCAATACGTGCCCATATTTTATGACCCTTATTATAAACACATTTTGGGTCTTCATATGCTATTATACATATACTCAAGAATAAAAGGCTGAATTTCTTTTAACATAGCTGACCGCAGCTGCTATAATTACACTAGTATCAAACATGAAGAGATGTTTTAGACCTCTTACAGCTCGAGGTACTCAATTATTTAAGTCAACATGAATAATTTAAATTACCTTAAGCAATAAGCACCAAAACAATAAAAAGCATGCTAATTTAAATCATTTGATAAAGAGGAATACAGCTATTTTAGTACCGTTTTTAGTTGGTTCAATGTTGTCCCAATCCTTGGCTAAATCGTTGTCCCAGTAAACTGATCGCCTGAAATATAATACAACATAGTAGGCCACAGTCATGTATGGAATTTTGTTCCCTTGCAAAATATTCCCCAGCATGTTTCCGTTAATTCTCTTTTGTTGACGTTTCAACATGATATGATTGACTCCAAAGTCGTATACTTTGCCCTTCGATTCTTAGTTCCCAGTCAAGATCAAAGAAAGCTATAGATACATTTACAAATCTTTGATTGTAATTGTATCAAACAAATGAAACCTCTGTCAAAATTGGTCAAGAACATTATCGAACTCGAAACGTGCAATGTTGCACTGCATCCTATTTTGTTTTGATCGACACCAAAGTACAAAGCAGAGTACAAGAAGTCAAAATTTTCAAGCGAATTTACTAAAAAACACTTTTGGTTACCACGGGAGACATAGCTAACCACCAACCTGTCCTCGATGAAGCCAACTGGGACCGGTTTGGGTCGAGACAAGATGTCAATTCTTGTCATCATAGCTGAAAGAGAGCAAAACAGTTTCTAACTTTGATCAACCTGAATGTGACGAAGAACAAGCTTTACTTTCTAACTTACTCTCGGCTGCCATATTGTCTTGTTCAACGGCTCCAGCCTGGTTTTGTTTGCTTTTCTCTTGTGCAGAGCTTTCCATGTTTACAGATGAGTATAGATTGTTGTTCAGTCGAATGAATCGTCTCTAAGCACGCTTTGGCAACTTGCTGCATAGCAACAAGGGTATTGAAACCGCGAGCGCTCAGCGGATGCACCCATGAGACACGAACATGGGGAACAAAATGGCGTCGCTGGTTGCGAGCTACACGGGATTTGCTGGCAATCTTGTGCATTTACCAGCGATCGAACAGCTTTCTCCGCGTATAATACGTATTCTTGGATGTAACCCCAGTCCTATGACTCTTCAGGGTACGAATACTTACCTCGTAGGCACTGGAAAAAGGTAAGAAATCTTGTAAGATCCAAAGTCAGCTGATAGGTTTAAAAGCTCCTACACAGGTCACATGTAACTTATAAGCGGAAGGTTAGATTATAGTCATCAGTATTGAGACAGTGCTAGTGTTCGCTTGTCATGTAGGTGATGATAAAAATTATGGTGAGATAGAATAAGGTAGAAGACAAATTTAGGGAAAGTTCATTTAATATGACAAGGGGGGGGGGGATGAAGATATTGAGGGGGGGCTCCGAAAATTTTTAGACACCCGAAGGGGGGACTCTGAAAAAATTGTTGCGCTAGGAGGGGGGGCTCCGAAAATTTGTATACTTCAAAACCAACACATGACATCATCATACAGATCGGATGGTTTTCAACTCAACAATTTAATGACCTGTGCAACTCAGCTATATCACGTGGTTTACAGATATAACAAATGTAGTCTCAGTAATTATTACACTCTTGTTCATCCCAAAAATGCTTTAGAAAATTGTATCACAACTGTATCTCAAGTTTGTCATAGTATAAACCATTGAAGACAATAACGGTAAATATATTTAATACAGTCTAGCGATCTTTTTTCAGGGGAGCAAAGGAAATGAAGGAGGAGGGGGGGGGGCTCTGAAATTTTTTCGACTACCATGGAGGGGGCTCCTAAAAAATTGAACAGCTAGCGAGGGGGGCTGCTAAAATGTCAAGCTTCGAGTTTCAATATCTTCATCCCCCCCCCCTTGTCATATTAAATGAACTTTCCCTTAGGGGGACGCTAGCAACTTTTTACACAGGAGTTAGATTCCAGTGCACAGGAACACCAGGTTCGTACGTATACTTGTTTGTCGATCACTGATTATTTAACCTTTGATATTTGATTGACATCAACACAAAATACGATATAGATAGCTTAGAAGAGACTTTAAGAAGAGGGATGTGCAAATCAAATCTCACCCTCATTGTCAACTACTGAATATCTAGGGTGCATTCCTTTAGGATGATCCGGATCAGGATCAGTGATCCGAGATCACTCAGATCATGGTAGATCAAATCCTTGTCCAGAGTGGATTCGTGGGCTCAATTGATTTACCATCATCCAACTGATCTCGGATCACTGATCCTGATCGGGATCATCTCAAAGCTAAGGAACACACTCCTAGTTTACATTAAATAGACCTTGTTTTTGACGCCATCTTGATGAGTAGGCAAACATGTGAGAAATTACAGTGATTGTATGAGAATCTAATGTCAAATAATTTGTGTAGAATGGCTGTTCTGAAATAAATATGATTTGTAAACTAAAGCTTCACTCCTAAGGATTCTCCTGAAAAGATTTGAGGGCATTACATGCACTAAAAAACCTAGAACCACTTTTTTAAATTTTCTATAGACTTGTCTATAAGAAAGTCCCGGGAAAATTACAGACAAATATATGGAAAATCTACAGCAAGCCTCTCAAGAAGTTTAAGCACAGGTACGCCCCCAAAATTCTTTAGGACAATCCTTTGCTTTGTACCTTTACTTTACAATTGATATTTTTTTTCAGAACAGCTGTTTTACTGAAATTATTCGACATTAGATTCTCATGCAAACACTGGAAATTTCTCACGTGTTTGCCTACTCGTCAAGATGGCGTTGAAAACGGTGACAAGGTCTATTATTGTTTTGATTGTCTCATTTGTATTTTCTCACATGATCTGTTCATTTGTCATCACCTCTAGCCGCATTTTGATTGATACTGGAAGTGGGGGTTCAGGTGAATATATAGCACATCTCAAAGAAGTATTAACTAATAATCAGACCACTATTCAAGAAATTCTTGTAACACATTGGCACCCAGATCATGTTGGAGGTATCCTTGATGTTGTTAAAGGCCTTGGAGATGCAGGTAATTATACTTAAGTAGTTATAATAATTATAATTTTTTATAATAATTATACTTAATCATGATATAATACTACATACATGTATACTAACGATGGTGATTCAAATTACAGGCAATGTGAGAATTTCAAAACTGCCACAGGAGGGTGTATCTGAAGAGATTGGTGGTCATACAGCTGCACATAAATATAACTTTCTTAAGGATGGAGATGAAATTACAACAGAAGGAGCCACACTGAAGGTTTACCACACACCTGGTCATACTACAGATCATATGGTTCTTTACCTCAAGGAAGAAAATGCTGTCTTTTCTGGAGATTGCATCTTAGGCCAGGGAACTGCTGTAAGTATTTTTTAGGAAAAAGGAATTAAACATAAAGTAAAGTTGGGTGTTGTAGGAGATTGGAAGTTGTTCTTAGATGTGTTATTTGCCAGTGCCAGTTGAAAAAGTGGATAGTTATAATATATGGAGGGGAGACTGTGTTTGGCTGATGGTACTGATGCACTCGTAGACTTGATACGACAACCACACCTGGGAACCAAGTGGCAGATTTTTTGTATGTAACATGAGTGGTCATATTTTAGTTGTGATGTTCAAACTCCTGCCTTTTAAAACATTGCTGAATGAACTTGGTTTTGTTTAATTTGTTGTTCAGAATTCTTGTTGCTGCCAAAAGATGTGTCATGGTAAGTAACAAAGATGTGATGCGTTTTCTGAACAACAAAACAACGTGGACACCAAAAAGAAAAAGCCTTACATGTATCTCCTGAAGATTTTCAGAGATTTTCTTGATTTTTTTATCATTTTTAAAGGCAGGAAACCTATTTCAGCTACACAGATTAGTTTTTCATTTTATTACACAGTGTCATTTTTGTATGGTGAAAGCAGCTATTTGATTTTTTTTTCAGGTGTTTGAAGATCTCTTTACATATATGAAATCTTTGCAAGCCATCTTAAACTTGTCTCCACATCTGATTTATCCTGGACATGGGCCTGTTATACAAGAAGCTGTTTCAAAAATCACTGAATACATTGAACATAGAAACTTAAGAGAAAAACAGGTGGGTTACATGTAATTTGCTTGAAATATATTTATTATTTTAAAGTTCAAAATTTTTAGCGGGGATGAGACTTGGCTAAAAGTATTATTATTCATTCAAAATATTTCCCCAATTCTGATTGGCTAAAAGCACACGCATAATTCACCATAACCAGTCACTGATGACCAAATTTGGAAGAATTTTGTGTTTAACGAGGAAATGGCGTCAAAAATGCAGCCCGCTACAGGTTAAGGCACCATTAACAAGAAGACCTGGGGAGGAGTTTGAGTTGTTTTGGTTGCGAAAAAAAAGGCAGACATTTCAATCGTTTCAAGAGTAAGAACTACAGCTGGAACTAGGCGAAATAATAGCTAAAACATGGCAAAAACAGCAAGAAGACAACTCGGAGAGCGACATCTGCTATTTGGAGAATATTTGTGGAGCTGGACAAACCTAAACATACACTATCAAAGATGAACTGAACATCGATGGATCGATGGAGGTAAGCATGTAGCTACGTGGGTGTATGTTTTTAAACTAGGAATTATTTTGAATGAATAATAAAACAATTATTAAATTTGGCTTTCGTATCATATGAAGAATTATGGAGATCTCGGAGGGTATTATCCGTCGAGGCCATAACACCCTTCTCGATCTCCATAATTCTTCATAAGATACTCAGCGTCATTCATTAACTGTTAATTAATTCATGATACAGTACATGCTACAAGTACAGCGTAATTCTTTTATTCTTTCAGATACTTGAAGCCCTAGAAAAAGATCCCAATGATGCAGTAACTGCAATGGACATTGTCAAGAAAGTTTACACCGTAAGAACTAGTACTACTGTAATAATGAATTAAGAAGTTAGGGAGTGTGGGTGTAGCCTGTTCACAGACCCTCAATTTTCTCTTCATAGTCCGTCAACCCCATGTGTTAAAAAATAGAAACTGCAGGGGATTTATTGACCACCAGCACAAGGGTAGGGCTTTGCTTCCGCGCTCACGGATCTTTTTGAAAAGAACAGAAAGAAAAGTGTACTGGCTAGTGTGGTCATTCAAAGGTCAAAAGGCTCTTGCTCCAGTTCTGTGCTTTGCATAAGTTTCATTTGATGGAAGGTTCACATACGCATGTCCAGATTGCATTCTATACATTTTTCATTCTTAGTGGAACTCCAAGTGAATGGTGGCTATAATATATAGTCAATGTGCCGTGATGCCTAATAGCAATGTGGAGATTAGGATTGCTGGGTCCTCTGGTCGCCGGCAATAAATCATTGTTACTTCTTATTTACTGCAAGTAGATACACTGTATACAACATGTTTATAAACATTCATGAAGTAATGAAATTAAAGGGGCCTGTCTTTGCTGATTTAGTGCAAGATTTTTCAAAGTAGTTCTTGTGATCTGATCTAAAAGTTTAAAAATCACAATGGTAATATTATTAATTTCATGCTGGATATTGTGATGAAAAAGACAAATCACTTTCATTCATTGTTGTTTCAGGACACTCCATGGCACTTACATAGAGCAGCTGAGAACAATGTAAACCATCATTTGACAAAACTTGAGAAAGAAGGACGAGTGTGTAAGTACTTAAACTATGAATTAAAGTGGCCATAAAGAGCAAAAGTTTTCAAAAAATGATATTTTTTGTTAATCTGCAGAAATAAAATAGAACTAGTCTCTGCAAAAATGTTACCAAAGAGATTTTGTGTAATGGTAAAAACATCATTTTGTTTGAGAGACATATCTCAAGTGAGTGCTTAACCATTATTGTTTCTTGGTTAGATGCAGATCAGATGTTATGTGTTTTATGCTATCACCGTTATTCATGCAATTCCAGAAAGACTTGGCATACCTGTATTGCATATAAACATTTACTGAATATATTTCAATTTTCGCCTTGCTTTCAGCTTCCATTCAATCGGACAAGGACAAGAGATGGAAGAGCTCATTATAAACCAGAAAACGTACAAGAAATTAATGTCGGTTATTGGATAACAATAACAAAGTTAGAGAGGAGGATCACGCGGCCGAAGTTGTCTATGTTTTAGAAGCATAAGGCACCTATGAGAATAATAGTTCTCCTTGGACAGGAGCTGTATGGTGTTGGTAGAGACAAGGAAAAGCAAAACTTTTTGCCTCTTGTAAGAGTCAAAAGAGATGGTGGGAATTGCCTAGTTTTTTTGGCAATTGAAAGTAAATGCGTAGAAAAAAACGTCTCCGGAGGTAATCTGTTTCCAGATAGTCCAGATCAAAGTGCTCGGCACCAACTTCATGACAAGAAAAAGTATGTGCAAAACGGTACTTTATTCCCAAAATACACATAAATACCAAATTCTGTGAATTTTTACAAACTGTAAAACATTGTACAAGTTATTTTACAGACAGTAGTCCAGTGTTGGCCAACAATAACCACCTGTGTCAAGAAAGGGCTTGATAAAACTTCTTAGAGATAAAAGAAATTCGTGGTTTTTGTTTTCCCACATGACAGGCTGAACTTGAAAACGCCTTGCTCATACGTCCAAGGAACTTTTTCTGGGGTCAATTTAATAAAACTTTTAGAGGTGTAATTTACAACTGTTGCCTTTATTTATTGAAGATGCTGAAAACAATAGCTACAGTTGTGAATTACACTTGTAAAAGTTTTATTAAATTGACCCTGGGCGGACCTCTTTTAAAACTTTTCTTTGGAGCTAAAATGTTTTCAGAAGCGATATTTTTTCCACTGCATATAAAAAAGTGTTAAGTTAAACTCTTGGGGGAAGTCTGGTTTCAGGGACTTCGTCTGGCTCAAGATCTCCCAGGAGACTGTCCGTTATTTTTCCCCTCAGACGACCGGTATGCTAAAACACAAAACAAAATGAGTCTCGTTAGTACAAAGAGAATCAAGGAAATTCTACGTACGTGTCAAAATTCAATCGGCAATAACTTTATTTAGATATTCTCATCTGTATATATAAAACGATTCAACAAACAAATTCAATTTAAGGTACATACACAAATGGTAAATTGTGCTATAGGAAGTATCAATAGGCAATTCTCTATGGACTCTAATACTATACCATACTGTGATATGGGACATGATGAGGTTTTACAGTACAGTCTGTCAATTATCAATTTACTAGTGAGGAAATAGGTGAGAAAGGAAAAAAAAGTTTTAAAAGAGGGTCGGTTAACTTTTCTCCTCTAAAATAGGGATCTAAATAAGCAACCTCGACGACACCGGCAGTGAAAACGTCGGTAGGAAAAACAATTCGCGCTCTTTAAACTTTATTGCAATTAGACCTGCTCAGTTTGTCAAACGGAGGTGATTTTTCCCGGAGTAGAATTTAAAAGGACCGTACTGCCAGGTTCAAAAAGAAAAAGGAAATTCTTCGTCGTGTAAAAACGTCGCATCAGGAAGTTTCACGTGGTAGTCGTGCAGTGACGTCAAGGAAATGTAAAAAGCATGGTGCACGTGCGTGCGTGCAGAGCTGTTGTTTTGCAAACATTTGTTTTTTTGACGTTGTTCTTGCTGCCGTCGTCGTCGGAGAGGATAACAGAGCAAAGGTAGGGGCGTATTTGAGAGTTAGTCATCCTTAGTTTAAAATTTAACCAGAAAGAGTGCAAGTCAACTATGACTAGAGACGTTGTAGCTAACATTTGGACGTTTAAGTTCAGAAGGAAAGGCGCAACGTAATGTTTTGCTTTGGATACTCTTTCCGGATCATAGATGGACAGTTTCCTAGAAACGAAAAATGATCCCTGTTTTCTAGGTGTATCGCTAGGATGTCTGTGAGGTAGAAAGAGGAAAACAAAAACAAAAACTAAAAGGTTCATGAAGTTTAATAATCACCACACACTTACCGTTTTCGGTCGTTGGATTTTGGGAGGCGGCGAATACGATGAACTTACTCCTGTTGATAGTAAGAGAAAACAAATAACATTATTTTTAAAATAAAATAACTTTAACCTTCTGTTAGCAATAACTGATGAAAATGTTTGCCCAAGAATTTGTTGGACTTTGGATTAAAAGGGAGGAACACTGATCCCCACCCCTCACCACTCGAATAATTGTTCCAACTTACCAGGGTCTGGTGTGGTAGCTTGTCGCGTTGGAAACATGACAGGCGGAGGCCACACACCTCCCCCGAGAGGACTGACACATTCACTGGTTTTGTTTGACGGGCAGTCACGGAGGGTACAAACAAAGGAGATGCCGCGAAGCTTTCTGGTACCGTTCTGTATGACGATAAGGGGCGCTTGTCCGTACGAGAAGCGGATCTTGAACCTATGGAAAATAAACCGGAGTTAAAAGTAGTAATAATCAAACCCCTCGGAAAACTGAAAACATCAGCTAAATTTTCTTTCTTTGCAGCATAATTAGTTGGCGATGAAATGAAATGAAAACAAGATGGCGCTTGCTAGCAAAGCTTTCTGTTTAGTATGTTTCTTAAGAAGTCAGCCCATAAACGCCTGCCTCTGGTTAACCAATTGGATTTCTTCAAATATTTCTTCTCAAGATTGCAAAATGTTGAGATGCTAGCCATTGCATTAAAAAAAGGAACTAGTAAGTTCCCACTACAATACTTAACGGTTCCTAGCTTTTACTTGTTCTGTGACACTAAACCGACGTAAACAAGAGAAAAATAGGGGATGGGGAATTCACTCTCTTCCCTCAATTTCTTTTAACGTAAGGTTATTGCTAGTCGACAGGCCATTTTTTGAGATATTTCCCATAGGTCTTCTCTCTCGGCGTTAGACCGTCGCCGAAGGAGACTGGCTACTATAAAGGCTGTTGACTGCATATATAAACTGGTCTTAACGGACTTCAAACCGGGTCACTTATGTATATAATTTACCTGCGCCAGAACCTGGCCTTGATAGACCACTGGTCAGATGCTGCTCGTATTCATAGATCTGAAGTAAAACAAATTCAGGCGAAAAATTTATAAACTACTACCAACCAAGAGGTAGGGAGTGCGGGCGAGATTGATAGAACGAGATTGTGACTTTATGCTTTGCGTAACTTCACGTGATAGGGGGCCAAGATGCGCGTGACCAGATTGAGGTCTGTCTATTTCAATCATTCTTAGTGGAAGTTCAAACGAATGCTGACTACATATGAGCCGCGCATGCCCGCGTATATTCTGGAGATTAGGATTGCAGGCTCTTCTGGTCGCCTGCAATAACGCATAAAACTATACTTTAGTAGTAAAATGGTTTAACACCTTGTGCCGATATCACTGCGATGGGCAGTGTGATAACATACCAAGGGTAAATTAAGTAGACGAGTTGAGAAAAGTATAGCAAAGGTCGGGTCCAAAACGTATTTAGAATATACTTAGTGCTAAGTTAGGCAAAACTACCATAAAAAAGCCCTATATGATGACATTGCGAAATTACTAGACGGAGTTCGTAAAAGCATTGTTAGTTCACAAAAGAATAAGCCATTCGGAGTTGCCCCAAGCCTCTGTTTCAAAATGAGGCTACGTTCGAAGCAACTGAAATGAAAAGGATTTTGCATTTTCTTGCAAATAAGACTCATTTTCCCAAGAAAGGTTTTGCACTTAGCCTCGTTTTGAAAAGTGAGAGTTTTTGGAACTCGAAAATGGCCTATTACCTGTCTTTGTAGATCTTCTACCCGCTCAAAAGCATCGAGTTTTAGATGCCGTTCATGATCCAGTTGCAACATCATTTGCTTCAAGGCCTGAAAGGAATTTGTGTCAGAAGTATAAAATAACATTCAGACAAGTACTGAATAGATGGTTTGGGTGTAAAACGAAGAAACGGCTGCCATGATGACGCGAAAAAATTTGAAGAACGAGAGAGGATTCTCTAGTCCAGATTTTCTTCAGCGCCAATACAAGATAATGCGAAGTTGTTGTACCTTTTTGGACTGCTCTTGTGCGAAGAGATTTCTCCTTTGATCTCTGTCTAGATTTTCTGTGGAAAACAACAACAAAAACAACAACAACAAAATTAATACGTTTTTCAGTGGATCATAGGTTCGACTCCTGTAGGAAATACTCGGATTTTGTCTTACAAGCCACTTGCGTTACTGGCTCATCTCATCCATTCTGTCAACAAAAGTTTTGTTCTTAATTATTAGTCTTACCACAGCTAATTGAAGTTCTAAAGCTCGACAACCCTATATTCTGGTTAGTAGTGTCTTTGGCGGAAATAGTACACAAAGGACCATAGTGTTCAAATGATCATTTTCAAACATCTAACCACAAGAAGCTTTCTTTTTATGTCGATCAGTCATAACGTGTGAACGTGAAACTAACGTGACTGACATAATCGTCATAATCCGCGAAGCCTTTATTTTGGACTTTCAGCTACGCCGGTTTTACTGGGTACGGTCTTATCTTCGTTAAGCAATATAATGATATTTAATTTGTGCTTACGAGTAAGAAGGCGAAGCTGTAGTTCCTTCTCCTCTAGATCTGAGATCTACAAACAGAAAGAATACTAATGAGTTTTATGAACTTTCAGTTTGAGCGGTTTTCAAATCTGGCGAGATTTTTGAGATCAGGCCATATATCTTATTTATTTCCTAACCCCTACCCCCAACCCCAGCCTTACCCTCATCCCCACCCTCACCTCTACCTCAACCCCCCACCCCGCCACCCTCA